TATATAATACCAATTGTTTAACCACGCCCACATTTTATAAATCCTCTCTTAAGTAGTTGATCCTCGTTATCCCAGTACATACTATACCACTCCTCCCACGATATAAACCGCGGCATAATAATGTCTCCCTCAAGACTCTCACTACAAAGTTTCTGAACAACTTTACACCACCTTCTATAGTATTTACAATCCTGAACTTCCCACTCAAAATGTGGCACCATGATTCCATAGAAAAGAAACTCATGAGCCTCACATCTAGGAGAAGGATAAACATCCCTCAAGTTTCTCTTTGGAACTACACTCAACATGCTACACAATCTCGCAAGAAGAAATCTAAGTCCAGGTGTATCACAAACTTTCTCATCTCGAAACCACTGTCGCACTTTCACAAGATGCTCGCACACAAGTTCAACATGAATCTTAGGGACATACGTTCTAACGCCACGCCTAACATTATACTTAACAACTTTTGGTAAATCTTTCTTTAACACCCCAAACTTCCCACTATCAATCACAAACAACTTACCACCAACACTCACATCAGACTTATAAAATTTATATTCACCATCACCACTATACGTTTGATAATACATTCTTTCTCTATATTATACAAGTTGTTTAACGTGAGGTGATTGTTACCGCAAGGATACCGCAATAAATTTCCCACAAACCGCACAACTTTCTTTATAAACACAAACTCGAGTTGCGACTCCACCGCAAACTTTCACAAGCAATCTTAAGCATCTCACCAACAACTTTTAGTAGACCTCACAAGTAAACTCAGATGTTTCACCAGTTAACTCACAAGCAATCTCAAGATATCTTGAAAGTAAATCTAAGACATCTTACAAGCAACTTTAAGTTACCTTGTAAGTAGATTTAAGATAACCTCAAGTAAAACCCAAGATGAACCAAGTTACCTTGTAAGATAACCTCAAAATGATTCAAGATGATCTCAAGTAAACTTTAAGATGATTTCAAGTAAACTTTAAGATGAGCTCAAGTAAACTTAAAGTAGATCTAGGATGAACTCAAGTAAACTTCAAGATAAACTCAAGTAAACTTCAAGATGATCTCAAACATCTCGCGAGTAAATCTAAGTTACCTCACCAGTTATCTCACAAGCAACTTTAAGTTATCTCACCAGTAGATTCATGATGTCTCACCAGTTATCTTGCAAGCAAATTTGAGACATCTCACCAGTAGATTTAAGTTAACTCACAAGCAACTTTAAGATGCCTCACAAGTAGATCCTAGTTATCTCACAAGTAAATTCCAAGTAGATCTGAGATATCTCACCAGTAAAACTTAAGATGATTCAAGCAAATCTAGAGTAAGTCCCATCATCTCGCTTTCTAAGAGTATCTCCAATATGAATCCCTCCATCATCACTCACAACAAATTCCTGAAGATAAGGTGCGTTCCACTTCTTCCACAAAGTTTTAGGAAACTCTCCCTCGTGAGGGCTAAATGACTTATTCATATACATCCACGCCAACCCTAGGAAAACCATCGCAAAAATAAAATTTATCTCCATATATCAATCCAAAGGTTTCCCCCGGGTGAACGCCACGTTCACCCACCTAGTTCTTACAAAAAAGTCTGATCAAGTTGAAGCTGAGAATAATTTTAGGCTCCACTGAGGGGTTACCCACCAACTTTCACAACTAACTCAGATCCCCTCTATAATATACAATTTAACCACCACACATCCTCTATAAGTTATAAATATGATGATACAAGAGATCTCAGATATTTTTGTTCATGAGACAACTAAATTATCAAAAAGTTGAACTCGGCAAAAAATTTAGATCACCTCCACAACATTCATTTTAACTCTCACACACCATCCACACACTCACATTAACCACCACACATCCTCTATAAGTTATAAATATGATGTTACGGGAGATCTCAGATATTTTTGTTCATGAGATAACTAAATTATCAAAAAGTTGAACTCGACAAAAAATTTAGATTACCTCCACAACATTCATTTTAACTCTCACACACCATCCACACACTCACATTCATACGTTAAAAAGGGTCTACAAAACCTCCACAAAATCAAATCTGTGGTGGTGAGCAAACTCAAGTAAGTGGAGGTCCCCAAACTCCCACACGCATATGTGCGTGTATATTATAGAGGGGATCTGAGTTAGTTGTGAAAGTTGGTGGGTAACCCCTCAGTGGAGCCTAAAATTATTCTCAGCTTCAACTTGATCAGACTTTTTTGTAAGAACTAGGTGGGTGAACGTGGCGTTCACCCGGGGGAAACCTTTGGATTGATATATGGAGATAAATTTTATTTTTGCGATGGTTTTCCTAGGGTTGGCGTGGATGTATATGAATAAGTCATTTAGCCCTCACGAGGGAGAGTTTCCTAAAACTTTGTGGAAGAAGTGGAACGCACCTTATCTTCAGGAATTTGTTGTGAGTGATGATGGAGGGATTCATATTGGAGATACTCTTAGAAAGCGAGATGATGGGACTTACTCTAGATTTGCTTGAATCATCTTAAGTTTTACTGGTGAGATATCTCAGATCTACTTGGAATTTACTTGTGAGATAACTAGGATCTACTTGTGAGGCATCTTAAAGTTGCTTGTGAGTTAACTTAAATCTACTGGTGAGATGTCTCAAATTTGCTTGCAAGATAACTGGTGAGACATCATGAATCTACTGGTGAGATAACTTAAAGTTGCTTGTGAGATAACTGGTGAGGTAACTTAGATTTACTCGCGAGATGTTTGAGATCATCTTGAAGTTTACTTGAGTTTATCTTGAAGTTTACTTGAGTTCATCCTAGATCTACTTTAAGTTTACTTGAGCTCATCTTAAAGTTTACTTGAAATCATCTTAAAGTTTACTTGAGATCATCTTGAATCATTTTGAGGTTATCTTACAAGGTAACTTGGTTCATCTTGGGTTTTACTTGAGGTTATCTTAAATCTACTTACAAGGTAACTTAAAGTTGCTTGTAAGATGTCTTAGATTTACTTTCAAGATATCTTGAGATTGCTTGTGAGTTAACTGGTGAAACATCTGAGTTTACTTGTGAGGTCTACTAAAAGTTGTTGGTGAGATGCTTAAGATTGCTTGTGAAAGTTTGCGGTGGAGTCGCAACTCGAGTTTGTGTTTATAAAGAAAGTTGTGCGGTTTGTGGGAAATTTATTGCGGTATCCTTGCGGTAACAATCACCTCACGTTAAACAACTTGTATAATATAGAGAAAGAATGTATTATCAAACGTATAGTGGTGATGGTGAATATAAATTTTATAAGTCTGATGTGAGTGTTGGTGGTAAGTTGTTTGTGATTGATAGTGGGAAGTTTGGGGTGTTAAAGAAAGATTTACCAAAAGTTGTTAAGTATAATGTTAGGCGTGGCGTTAGAACGTATGTCCCTAAGATTCATGTTGAACTTGTGTGCGAGCATCTTGTGAAAGTGCGACAGTGGTTTCGAGATGAGAAAGTTTGTGATACACCTGGACTTAGATTTCTTCTTGCGAGATTGTGTAGCATGTTGAGTGTAGTTCCAAAGAGAAACTTGAGGGATGTTTATCCTTCTCCTAGATGTGAGGCTCATGAGTTTCTTTTCTATGGAATCATGGTGCCACATTTTGAGTGGGAAGTTCAGGATTGTAAATACTATAGAAGGTGGTGTAAAGTTGTTCAGAAACTTTGTAGTGAGAGTCTTGAGGGAGACATTATTATGCCGCGGTTTATATCGTGGGAGGAGTGGTATAGTATGTACTGGGATAACGAGGATCAACTACTTAAGAGAGGATTTATAAAATGTGGGCGTGGTTAAACAATTGGTATTATATAAAATGTCGTGGCGAAAATTTGAGATTCGCTATTTAGTTAAACAGTATCATAAAGGTGAGGATTATAATAAAATTGTAAAGACCATGGGAGACATCTCTGACGTGCTTTTCACTAAGAAGATTAAACCACCGATGTTGCGGGTCGTTCTTGTGAGAGTATGTAGCATGTTTGGTATAATAACCGATTGTGTGGATGGGGCAAGTAAAGTTGCCGTCTCTAGAGGTGAAGATGTTTTATTTGGCGAGGCCTATCATTTTCTCGGTTACAGACCATATTGGTGTTCATACTTCCAACGGTGGGTTAAGATGAAACAGGAAGATAAAAGTTGGCTTGAAGAAATTGAGATTGATAATAAACTTGAGGTCTCTGATAGTGTCAGCGAATGAAAACTCCAAATGTTTTGATATCTGGCTCAGGATATTCATAGTGTATCCCAAATAGTCTGATGAACCTTATATCTCCAACTTCTGGTTGAGGTTTGCATTTATGTTTACCTTTACCATGTGGGACTAGTACATTTATAGGTCCAAGCTCGGCTCTTGATAGTTCGTCTGAAGTCCAGATTACTCTAGCAGCTATAACGTCATCTTCTTTAACAATGCAAACTGTTGCAATAACTGATTCCTCTCTCCTTTCCAGAATCTTATGAATATAACATAACCCTCGTAAGCAAATTCCTTCCTCTAACTCCGGATTACCACCTGTAGGTATAACAACCTTCTTGAAGATTTTTGCTGACGTCAGCATTTTTAATTTGTTCTATATAATGTTGGTAAAAATAAATGGAGGTATTTTTATTGGGTATTTTATTGGGTATTTTATTGGGTATTTTATTGGGTATTTTATTGGGTATTTTATTGGGTATTTTATTGGGTATTTTATTCGGTATTTTATTGGGTATTTTATTCGGTATTTTATTGGGTATTTTATTGGGTATTTTATTGGGTATTTTATTGGGTATTTTATTGGGTATTTTATTGGGTATTTTATTGGGTATTTTATTGGGTATTTTATTCGGTATTTTATTGGGTATTTTATTGGGTATTTTATTGGGTATTTTATTGGGTATTTTATTGGGTATTTTATTGGGTATTTTATTGGGTATTTTATTGGGTATTTTATTGGGTATTTTATTGGGTATTTTATTGGGTATTTTATTGGGTATTTTATTGGGTATTTTATTGGTCGTGGGTCACATGACTTTGGTGTGAAGATATGATTCTAAATGGAGATGGGTGGGTTTGAGTGTGAAGAGTGGATGAAAGTTGAGATGGCTAATCTTACTCACAGGTTTGGCTCACAAGTTTTGATTAACACATCTCGTGGAGGTGAATGTGGACATTTAATGGGTGAGGTGTGTGTTTACCTTAGACTGATAATCTTACTCACAGTTGAAGGCCACAAGTTTCGATTATTAGTTAGGATTACACATCTCAGAGTATTTTATAATGTCCATATGGAAGTGACGTTATTCCGTCATCTAAGACATAGCGTTTAGTGTCATAATTGGCCAGGGCTAGTTTATCTTGAGAGATTGTGCGCAGCTTATGATTGACACTTCTGATGGTCGAGCAGGTGACTCTTTTAGTGGTGCCATTGAAGATGCAATCTTTAACGTCTGCGTAACTGATGACTCTTTCCTTTGCACATCGGGGGATTCCCTTAATCTTCTTTTCCTCTTCACCTGATGATTTGAGGATTGCATAAGACTTTGGTCTGTTCGCGGAGACTTCATCGATTTGATGACCTCCCATTTCATCTTTCATCTTTCCGGGGACTTTCTTGTTCTTGTTGGAGAAGTACGGGGAATCTTGAGGATAATTAGAGTTGTCCCAACAATCGTGGAGTTTGCCTAGCTCAACACAATCTTTCTCAACATCTTCCGTCTCAATTCTATATAAGAGTGAATCTGTATCTGTGAGGATGAGTTTTGCCTTGTCACCATAAAATGGTTTGACAACATCATAGTGGAACTTATAGAGCTCAAGTTTGGCTAGCTCTAAGATGACCATTCCTATGTAAGATGGTTTGTTGAGATAGAGGACTTCTTTAGTCTGCTCCACCATTATGGCGTCTTTAGATAGACACTTACTTCCTTTGAATGTGGGAGATTCAATTAACTTCTTGGCGGCCTTTTCACTGGTGGCTATCTTTACATGCTTACGCTTTCTAAGATTTTCCATTGTCTTGCCATAAATTGCATTGTTCATTAACTTGAAGAAGTCTTTCTCAAAGTTTGTTGTGGCCTTTGCTCTCTCAGCTGTATTCTTCTCTATATAAGACTTTAACCAGCAGCTTTGATTGAATGAGATTGCTCCGTGGATCTTTTTCAGAATCATGCCTTTTGAGATGTAATAGTCGAGGCATTTTACATGGATGATATAGTTTCTCCTGTTATGAAGAGATGTGATTAACTTTGGAACTTCCGTTGGTGAGAGCTTGTTCTTAGATCTTATCTTCTTGTTGTACGGAAACACCATATCCTCGGTGACTAGCATCTTATGAGGGGCTAATGGGAGGTCTGCGTGTAAGTCATGAAGTTCCTCTGGATATTCCAAATCTACCTCTAAAACTAGACCTCTAGGTGAATCTCCTAGGAACTGTTTATAGTCAAGATTATCTGGATCCTCCCATTCAAAGTTGCTGTGAGGAAGTTGCTGTGACATACAAAATCCATATAAGTTGTTCACATCCCAGTATTTACTGAAGATCGACTTTTGCGCCGGGCCGAAGTTAGCCTTGAATTTATTATTTGTTTTCATAAACTTATGTGACACTTGTGCGACACCTCCACGGGTTCCTCTCTCGAAGAAGTTATGCATGTTAATATCACTTATTAATTCAATTGGATCACCTCCACGTTCCTGTTTGTCTTTCAACATTGCGTCCCATGTAAGTGATGGATTTGAGATGTAATTTGCGGGGTCAAGTTTATATGTTGCGTGGCACGTGGTCCTAAAGTTCTCAAATACATCTGCTAACAGTAACACGTCCGTTTCTTGGTAGAGTTCAAGGTAGTCGTTGAACGTTTTCATTTGAAAGTGTGACCAAACTGTTTGCGCTCGCTGATAATCTTTATCTGAAACTGGAGTGTCATACAGTTTCGAGAAGAACGCGTCCTTATTTGGAAGTTGAGTTTCTTTGGTAGTCTCAAGTGAAGTAAAATGATCATACGGAAAGATGCCCTTCTGAGTCATAAGCTTGAGTGACTCTCCCTGGAAACGTTTTGACGTTATTGGAAACTTAAGCGCGATCTCTTCATCTGATGTGTCACCTTTGAGATTGGCGACTAGATTAGAGAGTGATGTTGACATGAACTGCAGAGAGTCAATGAATACCAGTTGTCTGCCAAATGAGAATGAAAGATATTTCTGGAGATTGGTCGCAATAACTGTAAGGTCGATATTCTGTTCACATGATTCTAAGATTATAGGGTGAGAGTCATATCCTCGTAGATTGTGGAAAACAACTGGGATCTTGAAGAATTTAGTTTGACATGACTTATGAACTGCACCTAAGTAGTTTGAGTTAATCCTGTGGAAGTATGCGACTTTGTTTGATGGCGTTAAATCTTTGCTGCAGATGTAACAACTTTTCTGTTCCTGGAAGTGCGCGATTGAGTCTTCGGTCATGTCGTCCTTTTGATAGAAGAATTGCCTTGCTAGTTGATTACACTCCTTTTGTTCGGCCTTTATTGCTGTGACGAACTGTTTACATGCATCTTGGCCTGTGTAGGTCTTATACTCACCTGATAAATGATCGTTCTCCTTGCAGATCCTCTTATAACCGTACTTAACAACTTTATGCCGTTGGATAACTTTGGTGTTCTTACCTGATTGTAAAGTTATAGGTTCTAAGATGCATTCAAAATCTGCGTAGATAACAAATGGTGCAAATAGTTTATTGGCATGTGCTTTGAAATCAACTGTGGTGCCTTTGAGTGGCATTCTCACTGCTTGTTTACCGTTAATTAAGAGACAATCTTTCCTATGACGTTGGAGGAACTCTTCAGACCTAAAGTTCTGGAAACAGTTGATGCAAAAGTGCTTTTTATGTTCATCTTTGGAGTATGAGTTCATAAGTTTGTTAAAATCACTTACGCGAACATAACGTGACTGTTCACCTGAAGTTATGAGGAGAAGGTGCATGGTGTCTTTAAACTTTTCCTTGGAGTTATAAATTGGATAGAAGATCTTACCTGACTTATGACCGATAACATGAATGTTGAGGTTGTTCTGAGATTCGATGCGCGGTATTTGGGCAATGGATACTGGAAATGTAATTCCCTCATAATTTAGGTTCTGAGCAACTTTCATGTCCTCTTTAGTTATACGTTTTGGATCTTTTTTCCGTGGGCAAACATATCTTACATGTGACCATCTAAAGCATTCATTATCATCTGGGTTATAAATGTTTCTTAGAGCTAGTTGCGGCTTCTGGAGGCTCTTTGGTAGGTCAAGGTAAGATGAGCCATCAAGTGGAGCATATGTGTTGACCACTATATTCATACGTGGAAGTTTGAGGATAGACCAGCCACTTCCTCTTGCAATGAAACCGTCAATTCTCTGGAGAACTAGGGCTATTGCACCTTGGAGTGATTCATTTACATTGTCTTCACTGAGAAGTGTAACCGCTGTGTGATTGGCAACATACTCGGCTATCTCATAACCTTCAGAGCCCTTAGACTTTATGAACTCTACCTCTAGATTTATATGATACTTAATCCCTTTCATTTCCCTAAGATTCTTGGTTAGGATTTCCTCGAGTGTGGGTAGTGAAGAGGATAACTGAATCTGGGGGTCATAACTGACAATTTGAACTTTATAACGCTTTATTAGGTTAGAGAAGGAACTTGAGGTCTTCGCATAAGTAGGCCTTTTACCTGAAGGTGTTGGTTCAACTATATCATCTAGTTCCTTGACCAACCTTGTGTTCTCCAAGCGTTTTGGTGGTTCTTCTGGAATTGGTGGTGGAGACCTTGGTTTTGGAGTTGGACGCACCTTTGGTTTTGGAGGTAACTTTGTTCTTGGTTTTGGAGTTGGTTTTGGAGGTAACTTTGTTCTTGGTTTTGGAGTTGGTCTTTCCTTTGGTTCCGAAACCGGTTTAATAGGTTTGACTTTATTCCAGTTTATCATCCAATCTCCCATTTCCTTCATTTTCACTGGTGAACTTTTTCTGTACCTTTGCCTTTCAACTTTTGGTTTCTGAGGTGGGATGTGAAAGTTTGGGGCGAGTTTCATTTCAGATCTTAATTTTCGTGGAGATACTCTTTTAGAGATGTGGGGGGGTTTTGAATCTTGGAGTTTTATACCAACTTCCTCTAATAGACTATCCACTATCCTCTCTTCTTGAGAGTCTATTGATTGAGGTAAATTGGTAGTCTTAACTCCAAACTTTCCCGACAACACCCTTACCAATTGAATGTTTGACCTTGAACTATTAGGTACTGATTTACCTTTTTCTGCAAGTCCTTCTTGAACTTCTGAGAACTTCGTTAATATAAACTTCTGATCATCACTATCCTTCACAAATTTATATACGGTTGGAGTGAGATTGATTAGACGTTCGAGCTGTTTTTGTTGGTTTTCCATTCTTTGTCCTTTTATACTATACATAAGGTTTAACGTTTCTCTATATAATATAGGCAAAAATAAAATGGGGTATTTAATTTAGAATTAATTTAGATTTTAACGCATTTTTAGATTACTCGTCTGAGGTGGAATGCGCTAAAAGGAATTAGTATTTAAAGTAATATTCTAGTTTAAATGGAGGTTTCAATTAACAATTATAGGATATTTAACGAATCCTTTTAGCGCAAACAGTCGTACAAAGGCCATTTTTTTATCATATTTACAATTCTAGAGGTTTTATAGGAATGGCTCTAGAATGGTCATTTTTATGCTCACAGAGCGTCCACATTTAGCGCAAAACGGTTTCTAGAGCGAAAGTATATGGCGGAAAATTTTAAAAATGCGCTAAAAACGGCTTTGCCCCCACTACTCATTCTTGTAATGGCCAACTGAGTGTGTAACATTAAGTAACAATTGTATTTGAAGTCAAATGCTCAACAAAAACAACTTTACTTTTTCAGAATAAGACTACTAGAACCAAATTTTAGGTTTATTAGTAAACTATCATAATAACTTCATATATCTTTAACAATTTCAGGACCGCCGAAAGTAGGGATGCAGGCAAAATCCCAGCTCAAAAGGGGCCTCCAAAGCACAAAAAGTTGTGTCAATGCCAGATAATATGCAGTAAAGTGTAATATAAAAACACCTCTTCTCCCATTTAATAATTATGATGTCATAGGGACCCCTGGGAAAACTTAATGATGTCATATGCTTTCCCTGGAAAAGTTTTACTCTGGGCCATGCACAACCTCCCAGTGGTACCATAAAATGAATTGCAAGTTCTAAAAGTTTTATTGATTTCAATAATGTGTCATTCTACATATCAACCTAACAAAGCAATACAAGCATAAAAGTATAATTATAAAAAGTACTTATTCAAGCAGGGCATTGTTATTAGTCAGGCCAGGTGTGATTCTTGATTCTTTAACCTAACTACTTTTTATCACATAACTAATGAGCGATGCCACTTTTCCAACAATACTATTCCTTTCTTGAGTATTTCATTATATTAGACTCTTCATTGTAATGCAACATGCCAAGCTGTTTACTGTTCCAGAATACAGAACTGTATAATTTTGACTTGAAACTGATTTCCATTGTTTCCGGATGTACTGGCATTAATTGGCATAATAAAAAGATTATCATATGTACTATGTACTATTGTACTGCCCCAGGTGTATCTGAAAGAAATGTAATACTAAAGTTATAAAATAGTCTACCATTTAATAAACACACACAGGTATACTGCTACATGCTTTTGCTCAATTGCTACAGCAGTACCCTTCTTTATTGAGAAAAATATATTTATTTTATCATTGTATGAAGAACAATATTTGGTTTTAAATTCCCTAGGTATGATACGTTCATAATAATGCATGTATAATAGTAGGTAATAAATATTGGGTATGATCAGCTCACAGGATGCTATTGAATTTCTGAAAATCTGCTGCATTTTTAGGGGGTACACAATTATCTTTTGTGGTATTCTAACTAGACTACAATTAGGTTGGAAATTCAGAGCGCAAGGTTCAAAAATTAACCTTGAAACAAAATAATGACATGATTCACATGAACAATATAAATTGTAACAAATTAAATAATTAAAGGCAACCAAGGCAGTGTGCAACAAGCAACGTTCTTGCTCAAGAATAGCCTATTTAATAAAGCTGAGAGTTATTAAATTACTTAATATAACAAATAATTAAACGTACTCATACCTTAAGAAGAAATCAGAACATTTTGAAGGAAATAGAAGCCATTTGAGACAAAATATTTGATCGATGACTCGATGAGTGTTGACATGTGTACAAGCTGGTGTTTCAATCATCTCAAATTACTTGTGAAACGGAAATCACATGTGCACTCAGTATCCTTCTTGTTCACACTAACTGCGCCGAACATATTTTAATGCTTTTGACGGGAAAAATTGCGATTTTATTGATATTTTCAGCAAAAAGTTAGCTCTCCACTCCTCTTGAAAATACTATGGCGCGCGCGATTCCCGGAGAATGGGTACGAAATAGTTAATTGGAAAATACTGTACTTTTACCGTATTTTCTAATTAACTCAACTCGTGTGGCCAGAGCCACTCAACGATGGCTCTGGGTACGAGGATTGGATGTTACTCTGAGTGCATATCCACACCGGGATATGCACTCAGAGTAACATCGCAAACAGCTTATTAATTATTATTGATTTCTAATATGACGGTTATAAACGGAGCTCCCAAAGACACGACCGTTCATCACAGCTGCGAAGGGAAATTTGGTAAGTCTAGCAAAATTTGGTTCATTGAACGCGTACCAATTTTTTTGCATCAAGAGTTCTAGCAAATACTCGATGATATCGCTTCATCGCAAACAAATCGAGTGTGATGTTACTTTGGTCGTGCAACACACAAACGCACCATTTGACTGACCATACTCATAACTCATTCGCGCAATTGAATTTGGCGCGCTAGCTATAAGGCATATAAAATTCTTGACAAATTGTATTTATTTGATCATTACCAAAGAAAATTGACGAGCTCCAGCAAATTGCAGAGCTAAACTCTGCAAGTGTTATTTGCATTACTGAATCGTGGCTATCACCTGACATTCCTGATCATTGCGTATCTATCCCTGGATTTAACTTATTTCGTAGGGATCGCATAGGATCTTCTGGTGGTGGGGTCTGTGTATATTTGGATCATAAAATACCTTGTAACCATTTGGATTCATGTGACCAATCTGATGTAGAATCAATTTGGGCTTCATTAAGACCACATAAACTCCCAAGAGAAATTACATCCATTATTCTAGGAGTAATATATCATTCAACATCCAATAAAGAACCTGAGAATGTTGTCCTTAGAGACCATGTGCAGAATAACCTTGACTCATTACTCTTTAAGGAACCTAACGCTCTTGTTTTACTTACAGGTGACTTTAATCCCACGTCTACAGGTTTTAAAATGAAATATATCACACAGGTGAACCATCTTAAACAACTTATATATTTTAAAACCAGAGATTCTGCCGTATTGGATTGGCTGTTAACAAATAGACCTAAGATGTTTGAAGTATCTAGATTGCCAAAGGTTGGTTCGTCTGACCACTATACGATCTTAGCAAAACCAAATATAGCAATATCATCTAAACAGACTATTACCAAAATTAGAATCCGGGACATGCGGAACTCTGCGTGGTGTGCCTTTGGACGATGGATAACCAAAAAAAACTGGTCATCAGTATTAAGTGCGAGTACGAGCAAAGATAAATTTGACCTCTTTATGTCAGAGCTTGACCAAGCAGTTAATACCTTTCTCCCACAGAAAATAATAAAAAAGCATCCGACAGATCGACCGTGGATTACTAATACGATAAAACTGTGGATTTCTAGACGCCAATGTGTATTTCAACAACAAGGAAAAATTCTAAAGACTATAGTTTTTGGAGGAATAAGGTTCAACGTGCAATCCAGTCAGCAAAATTCAATTACTTTCATAGTAAGGTAGCAGATGTTGATAGAGTTAACCCTGTAAAGTGGTGGAAAGAGATAAAAAAAACTATCAGGTCAAAATATCCGACAGGATTGGTATCATCAGTTCCTTGATAACAACATGGATATAGAATCCCTAGCTAATAAAGTGAACGACTTCTTTGTTAGTCTTACAGATCACTTCGCCCCTCTGAGCCAACCAACTCCACCTATGCAAATCCCGGAAGCGGAATTCTTGGTTACGGAAAGTGAGGTGTTTGAAGCATTAGCATCACTGCAAATTAGTAAGGCGACTGGCCCTGATAATATCCCGAACAGAATCCTGAAAGAGTTTGCTCCTGAACTGGCTCCAGTCATTCGTAATATTTACAACCAGTCAATGAAAGAAGCGAATATCCCATCACCACTTAAGTCATCTATCGTAATTCCAGTTCCGAAGATATCTCCTCCTCAAACAATTGAAAATGATCTCCGCCCAATCTCGCTTACTTCTTCAATGGCAAAAGTTATGGAAGGCTTTACATGCACTAGACTATTAAAGGACTTGGAAGGAAAAATCGACCCTCGCCAATATGCCCGCAAAGGGCACTCAACAACAGATGCCCTTCTCTACATGATGCAAACAATTCATGAGGTATTGGACGGGGGCGAAGCTGGTGCTCGTATCTTCTTCGCAGACTTCTCAAAAGGTTTTGACCTAATTGACCACTCTATTTTAATACAAGAACTGTATAAGCTCCAGGTTCACCCTGCCTTGCTGTCCTGGATCTCAGCCTTTTTATTCAATCGTAGGCAGGCGGTTAGAATTGGTAGTGTCCTTTCTCAATGGCAAACTCTGAAGGGAGGAATACCCCAAGGGACTAAACTCGGAGTGGTACTTTTTATGGTCATGACAAATAGCTTACTGGCTAATTGGCATCTCCGTACAAAATTCGTGGATGATACTTCAGCCCTCGAGATTATTTCTAGGAACTCTATCAGCCTCCTTAATTTTGCAGTCTCTGATATACATGAATTT